AATATGTGCACTCAACACATGCTAAAACCGAAGATTTCGTCGGCTTGTAGTGCCGAAATCCCTCTGGAAATATTGTGTTGCCTTGCAAAGAATATGTGCACTCAACACATGTTAAAACCGAAGATTTCCTCGGCTCGTAGTGCCGAAGTACCTCCGGAAATATTGGGTTGCCTCTCCGAGAATATGTGCACAACACATGTTAAAACAGAAGATTTCGTTGGCTCGTAGTGCCGAAGTACCTCCGGGAATATTGTGTTGCCTTGCAGAAAATATGTGCATTCATTACATGTTAAAACTGAAGATTTCATTGGCTGGTAGTGCCGAAATACCTCCAGAAATATTGTGTTGCCTCTCAAAGAATATGTGCACTCAACACATGTTAAAACCGAAAATTTCGTCGCCTGGTTGTGCCGAAATACCTCCGGAAATATTGTGTTGCCTCTCAAAGAATATGTGCACTCAACACATGTTAAAACCGAAGAATTTCGTCGCTGGTAGTGCCGAAATCCTCCAGAAATATTGTGTTGCCTCTCAAAGAATATGTGCACTCAACACATGTTAAAACCGAAGATTTCGTCGGCTGGTAGTGCCGAAATACCTCCGGAAATATTGTGTTGCCTCCCAAAGACTATGTGCACTCAGCACATGTTAAAACCGAAGATTTCGTCAGCTGGTAGTGCCGAAATCCTCCAGAAATATTGTGCGGCCTCTCAAAGAATATGTTCACTCAGCACATGTTAAAACCAAGGATTTCGTCAGCTCATAGTGCCGAAGTACCTCCAGAAATATTGTGCGGCCTCTCAAAGAATATGTGCACTCAACACATGTTAAAACCGAAGATTTCGTCGGCTTGTAGTGCCGAAGTACCTCCGGAAATATTGTGTTGCCTCTTGGAGACTATGTGCACTCAACACATGTCAAAACCGAAAATTTCGTCGCCTGGTTGTGCCGAAATCCTTCTGGAAATATTGTGTTGCCTCCCAAAGACTATGTGCACTCAATACATATTAACACTGAGGATTTCGTCAGCTGGTAGTGCCGAAGTACCTCTGGAAATATTGTGTTGCCTCTCCAAGAATATGTGCACTCAACACATGTTAAAACCGAAGATTTCGTCGGCTCGTAGTGCCGAAGTACCTCCGGGAATATTGTGTTGCCTCCCAGAAAATATGTGCATTCATTACATGTTAAAACCGAAGATTTCATGGGCTGGTAGTGCCGAAATATCTCCGGAAATATTGTGTTGCCTCCCAAAGACTATGTGTAGTCAATAGATATCAAAGCCGAAGATTTTGTCGGCTGGTAGTGCCGAAGTACCTCCAGAAATATTGTGCAGCCTCTCAAAGAATATGTGCACTCAACACATGTTAAAACCGAAGATTTCGTCGGCTTGTAGTGCCGAAGTACCTCAAGGAATACCGTGTTGCCTCCCAGAAAATATGTGCATTCATGACATATTAAAACCGAAGATTTCATCGGTTGGTTGTGCCGAAATACCTCCGGAAATATGGTGTTGCCTCACAAAGACTATGTGCACTCAATACATGTTAAAATCGAAGGTTTCGGTGGCTGGCAATGCCAAAATACATCTGGGAATATTGTTTTGTTTCTCGGAAAACATGTGCACTTTCAATAAGTCAAAGTAGCTGTGAAACCCGAAGATTTCAGCTTCTGTTAGTGCCGAAATTCTTGTTTGATCTCCTGGAAACATCGTTTGATGTTCTGGGAACATTGTTTAACCCCCCAGGAACATTGTTTGACCTTCCCAGAACCTTGTCTGACCATACGCAACTGTTGTTTCACCTTCTGGGGAATATTCATACCCACCATCATCATTGGTTGATCTTCTGAGCCGCCATGTAGTATAAAAGAAATTGTTGAAAATTCACCGTAGTGAAGGTTATACCTAACCTTTTGAGTTCACACACTGGATACATATCAATGTGGTTGAACAGAAGTAAGTTTACCATCTGCTTGCAACTCCAGAAAAAGACTGGGGGTGAGGGAGACCATTCAATCTCTTTCTTGATCCATCAATGCGTCAGTGAGCAGTTACTCATCTTGTAGTATTATCATGAAATGCTTTCAAATCTCCAAAATTTATCTGTCTTGAAATTCATCTGGCAACACGATATTTCTGGAGGCATTTTGGCATTACAAGCCAACGAAATCTTCGGTTTTAATATCTATTGACTGCACATAGTCTTTGGGAGGCAACACAATATTTCCGGAGGTATTTCGGCACTACCAGCCTATGAAATCTTCGGTTTTAATATGTAATGAATGCAGATATTTTCTGGGAGGCAACACAATAGTCCCGGAGGTACTTTGGCACTACCAGCCGATGAAATCTTCAGCTTTGATATCATTGACTACACATAGTCTTTGGCAGGCAACACAATATTTCCGGAGATATTTCGGCACTACCAGCCCATGAAATCTTCGGTTTTAACATGTAATGAATGCACATATTTTCTGGGAGGCAACACAATATTCCCGGAGGTACTTCGGCACTACGAGCCGACGAAATCTTCGGTTTTAACATGTGTTGAGTGCACATATTCTTGGAGAGGCAACACAATATTTCCAGAGGTACTTCGGCACTACCAGCTGACAAAATCACAATATTTCCGGGAGTACTTCGGCACTACCAGCCGACAAAATCCTCAGTGTTAATATCTATTGAGTGCACATAGTCTTTGGGAGGCAATACAATATTTCCAGAGGGATTTCGGCACAACCAGCTGACGAAATTTTCGGTTTTGACATGTGTTGAGTGCATATATTCTTTGAGAGGCAACACCATATTTCCGGAGGTACTTCGGCACTACCAGCCGATGAAATCTTCGGTTTTAACATGTGTTGAGTGCACATATTCTCAGAGAGCCAACACAATATTTCCGGAGGTACTTCGGCACTACCAGCCGACGAAATCCTCGGTGTTAATATCTATTGAGTGCACATAGTCTTTGGGAGGCAATACAATATTTCCAGAGGGATTTCGGCACTACAAGCCAACGAAATCTTCGATTTTAATATTTGTTGAGTGCACATATTCTTTGAGAGGCCGCACAATATTTCTGGAGGTACTTCGGCACCATGAGCTGACGAAATCCTCCATTTTAACATGTGCTGAGTGCACATATTCTTTGGGAGGCAACACGATATTTCCGGACATACTTCGGCAATACAAGGCGACGAAATCTTCGGTTTTAATATCTATTGAGTGCACATAGTCTTTGGGAGGCAACGCAATATTTCCAGAGGGATTTCGGCACAACCAGCCGACGAAATCTTCGGTTTTGACATGTGTTGAGTGCACATAGTCTCCAAGAGGCAACACAATATTTCTGGAGGTACTTCGGCACTACCAGCCGACGAAATCTTCGGCTTTGATATCTATTGACTACACATAGTCTTTGGGAGGCAACACAATATTTCCGGAGATATTTCGGCACTACCAGCCCATGAAATCTTCGGTTTTAACATGTAATGAATGCACATATTTTCTGGGAGGCAACACAATATTCCTGGAGGTACTTCGGCACTACGAGCCGAAGAAATCTTCGGTTTTAACATGTGTTGAGTGCACATATTCTCAGAGAGCCAACACAATATTTCCGGTGGTACTTCGGCACTACCAGCCGACAAAATCTTCGGTTTGAACATGTGTTGAATGCACATATTCTCCGAGAGGCAACACAATATTTCCAGAGGTACTTCGGCACTACCAGCTGACAAAATCACAATATTTCCGGGAGTACTTTGGCACTACCAGCCGACGAAATCTTCGGTTTTGACATGTATTAAATGCACATATTTTCGGGGAGGAAAAACAATATTTCTGGAGGTATTTCGGCACTACCAGCTGACAAAATTTTCGGATTTAATATCTATTGACTGCACATAGTCTCCAAGAGGCAACACAATATTCCCGGAGGTACTTCGGCACTACGAGCCGACGAAATCTTCGGTTTTAACACGTGTTGAGTGCATATATTCTTTGAGAGGCAACACCATATTTCCGGAGGTACTTCGGCACTACCAGCCAACAAAATCTTCGGTTTTAATATCTATTGAGTGCACATAGTCTTTGGGAGGCAACACAATATTTCCAGAGGGATTTCGGCTCAACCAGCCGATGAAATCTTCGGTTTTAACATGTGTTGAGTGCACATAGTCTCCAAGAGGCAACACAATATTCCCGGAGGTACTTCGGCACTACCAGCCGATGAAATCTTCGGTTTTAATATCTATTGAGTGCACATAGTTTTTGGGAGGCAACACAATATTTCCGGAGGGATTTCGGCACAACCAGCCGATGAAATCTTCTGTTTTAACATGTACTGAGTGCACTCCAGGAGGCAACACAATATTCCAGGAGGTATTGACCTTTAAATGCAAAGAAAGTGTCCTTTATACAGCATGCCTCATGCTATCCCTGCATACAGAGTGGCTGTCACATCTCCGGCTATTATCTATTACCCGAAATGAATTCAAGTGATTAACAGGATTCTAGGCCGATATGGAAATATTGATTTATGGCCTACCTGTGTGCTACCGACGGTATTTGCAAAGTGTATCCCATTTTGTGCTGGAGGCGATTCATCCGACTGGATTTCGGCTAGACAGGGATTACCAGGGCTAGGGTTATGGTTCCGCCGGTTACACCGAGCATTGGGCCCAACAATGCAATATAGCCTAATTACATATTGGGCCCAACAATGCAGTATAGCCTAATTAATACCATTGGAATATTGGGCCCAACCTTGGCTGTTGGGAGTTTATCATGGGCCCAATTCTTTTTGTGTATCCCTCATTGGGCCCAATTATGCTTCTCATAGTTTTGTTACCTTGGCCCCAACAATGCCAGCTTAACGTCTCACAGACATTGGGCCAAACTATGCCCAAATGGTGCCAACTACGATTGGGCCCATTGGGGTAGCCCTATGGTACATTGGACAATTGACCATGTGAACTACTATGGTCCCATTGGGTATCTACTGAATGCCCTGGTTCAACGACTTACTAGACGCGATGTTGACGAAATGCACTTCCATTGGATAAAATTGCGCGTCGACAAGGTGTTCTGCGGGTGTATGGAAATGATATTGCTTCAGGCTGTACGTCTTGCCTTCAAATATCGTAGTCCCATTGATCACAACCTCAACCGTCGAACCCAGGTTTTCAAATTCCGCCGACTTCACGCTGGGGATACTTAATTGCGGGTGGGTCTTCGAGAGTGGGACGACGTCGTGCTCGATATTTATGGGAGACTGGACATTGGCCGTTGAGCACTTTACGTTCGCGGGGTCAAGGCCTGCCCAGCCGAGAGGACCGGTGACTCCGATGTAGCTAAAGTTGCTGATGGGTACAGAGCCAGGACCTGCCTGGAGATTACGGCTGTGGTTGTGCATAGCGTTGCCAAAGTTCAGTCCAGAACTTCGGTTCGAACCCGAACCCTCTGAACCGAACACAAAGTTCAGTTCGAGTTCAGGTTCAGGTTCGGGCTCCAGAAAATTTCTGGAGAACAGGTTCGGACTGAACCGAACCTCTGAACCTTTAGCCACTGGGGGGCCTACTTTCCCTCTGTTTTGGACATTTTTTTTGCAATTTGTTGTTCAAAACTACTGTACTAATACGACCATGCCTTCGCATCACGCATCACAGAGGTCTCTGAAGGAAGTGAAGTGAGTGTGATGTCACACATCACACTGGCTTTTGAAGCCATTCCTGGCATTTTAAAATATCCATTTTTTCTAATTTTTCTGGTGCCTGCGGCGCCCTAGCCATGTAAACAACACTCAGCATATTTCATCTACTTCTAACAAGAATTGTCCCACCATCTAAGATTTTTCTGCATGTACAACATTGTTTAAAATTTCAAATCAACGATGGCCCCTGTTCGGACGAAGAGCTCATACTCTTCGTCACACATCACATCGGATATTAAAGTCATGAAGAGATGGTCAAAATGTGTCACGCCCAAAAGGGCCAGAAGAGATGGTCGTATTAGTACAGTATTGTGATCTGTAACAACTACAGTATTTAAATGTAAAGTATCAATCCCTCATCTGGGTAATGGTTGATGGCCATATTTTAGGTCGCTTTCCCACACGTGCACTTGTTGGGGTCTGTTGTATAATATCTATTTGGCTTATCAAACATGGTTTGTGCCACGGCATTGCATAAATAACTGATTTTTAGAGATTACACATGAGTTTCGAAGCATTTGGACACGAAAAAAAGGCAAAAAAATTACAAGGTTCAGAAGGTTCGAACCTGAACCGAACGCACAGTTCAGGTTCGGTTCAGGCTCGGAAAATTTGTAGGAGGTTCAGGTTCAGGTTCGGACCAAAGGGGGTCTGAACCGGACTGAACTGAACTTCGGCAATGCTAGTTGTGCAGGCAGACGCCTTGGACAAAGGAGGTGGAGAGAAGGAGAGTCGACGCAACGGCGCCAAGGAAAGTTAGGTATTGGAAAAGCATCATATTGTGTGGTGTTCAAAGAAAGTCAAGAGATGGCCAAGCGACGAGAAGAAGGGGTGGCTGACAGGACACAAGTTGTTTGGGGGGGGGGGGTTATATAAAGTCTATGATAAAAAGAACAACCCCATGGCTAGTGAGTGGCAATGGCAATGTAAGCGAAATTCGCTCAATGGAAAATGCCAAGCCCTGCAGGGAAGGATGGCAAAAAATCAAGTCAAGAACAAAAAGGTAACAGTATCGACAATAGAGGTTTTGAGAAGGTTGAAGCACATACTTCCCAATTGAAATGAGGAAAAGTTGTGCCCAAGCGGGATGAGAATAGGCATTGAGAATGCATAGAATTTCCAGACAGGTCGTACCAGAACTTGAAGGACCAGTATTGGATAGTACGTTTGAGCCGAAAGGAGTCAGGGGTGGCATTTACTTGTGGCCTTGTCGCGTTGCATTCCGACACACACAAAGCCAAGAGAACCAGCAGTGTGATTGTGGCAGGTGCAAGGTGGCAACAGGGACATTACGGAATGAGTAGAAGGTGACTGAACTGTAAGATCCGACTTCAAATTGAAGCAGGTTTGAAGTGAAAGCACTTCCATAACATCGCGCCAAGAGTGTTGAAGCTGAAGCTTGAAGCTTGAAGCTTAAAGCTTTGAAGTTCGACGTCCAGTCCAAAATCTGTGGTGGTGGCGAAGGTTATTTACTTTGTCAGATGAAGACAAACTCGTAAGAACCATGAACAACAAGAGTCCTTTCCCACCGCTGTTCAGCTTGATCCATGAGTACGACCAAACGAATTACCTCTTAACGTACCTCATCCACACCCAACGAGCCGATGGCGATTTTGGCGCTGTGGATCTCCTAGAGCCGTCTGCCACCTTGTCATACTTCCGAGATCTCTGCTCTCCATTCACGGACGTTCCCCAAGACGTCATCGACAACTTCTTCCAGGACTTGATGCATCTCGTTCGGTCTCAAGGGGAGCAGGCAGTACTGTCATATACTTGCAAACACTGACTGTAATCCTAGTCACATAGGTTGTGCACAATGCACTGTAGTCTGTGTCACTGTGGGTTGTGCACAACACTTGCACAACACTTGCACAACACACTACACGGGTTTCTGGTCCCCTTCCTTCCGCATTTGGGGCGCCTCCGGCCACTACAGCTTGGCTTTCACAGGGTAGGCCTCAGCACCTTCCCAAAATAGGTTACTTCCCCCTTTGGGTAGATCAGCGGCATTGGTAATAGATGGCGGCATGCGGGCACACCTCCTCTTGGATTGGCAGGATTAGATGGCGGGCTATTCATTTAAAATTCCCCCTTTGGGTAGAACAGCGGCATTGGTAACAGATGGCGGCATGGCGGACACACCTCTTGGATTGGCAGGATCAGATGGCAGGCTTTTGGCAGTTATTTATATGACATACATTTTTTTTTGTTAGGGTTAGCGTGTTTGAAGGTATCTTTTGACTAATTAGAGAAGACTTAGAAAAAAGCGAAGGACTTTGAATGAAAAGTCTTAAGGAGGACTGGTGCTGGTATATTCTTAATATATGGATTCTTATATCAGTCATATGGTTGAGTGGAATGTTTGGCCTTGTCAATCTTATGTGTATGAGGATGCTCTGTGTTCGATTCTTGACTGTTGAGTTTTTTTTAAATGATATTTCTTTACGTGCCTCAACCATTCGAGACCAAGGGCTCTCTCAGAAATCCAGACTAGCTCCAAATTTTATGAACACAGGCTATATATATTTTATGGTGCAAATACAACAGCAGTACTCATCCCTCCGGTACCCAATAATTTGGCTTCCTAACTTCATGGCCACTTCGAGACTTACGACTGCCCTCTGGCTCCTTTCGCTTCTTTCCTGACCCCTTAGACCCCTTCTCACTGTCCCCCTTTCCGTTAGCTCCTTTATCCAATGCACCTAGTGCTTCTTCCGCCTCGCGTTTTTTGCGAGCTCTAGTAAGAGCTGCTTTCTCATAGCGGGTAAGCTCAGTCAAAGGTGCGTGATTTTCCTTATCGCTTGGGCCATCACCCAGGGGAGGTGCGGGGGTCGTATTGTTGGAAGGCGTCGCATCGGTGCTACTGGAAGGAGCAGTGTTAGCGCCAGTGGATATAGGTGTGTGAGTGGTTGTGCCGGGAGCGGATTCTGTATCGCCATTGCAAGCGTCACCACCACTGGAGAGAAGAGTGGCATTGACGCCAGGCTTCTTGATGGGACATGGTCTGGGTCGTGGTCGAATCTGACGATGTTCTTGGGTTGCACTGTCTGAGGATGCCAAATCGGCGTTGATGGCTGCACCATGGATGGTGTAGTTAACCGTAGTGGAAGCCTCTGAATTGAGTGGTGCTGAAGAAGGGGGGGATGAAGGAGGTGGAGTAGGGGTAAGTGCGGAGGCTGGCGCCGAAGGTAAAGGGGTTTTGGGAGGTGATGCACTAGACGGATTGACAGTGCGACCCAATGTGAACGGATTGATTGGGGCACGGCCAAAAACACGGGGATCGGATGTGAGGGTTGCAAATGGGTTGTTGAGATCGCTCTTCTCCTGTGTTGTGACAGCTAAAGGCTCGCGTCGGGGAGGTGTTCTCTGAAACACAAACCCAGGTGCCGATGCTAATAAAATCCCAGCAGTTGATGCCGGTTTCCCCATATTCTCCATATAAAGGAGAGGATCGATGAAGGGATCACGAAGGGGAGAAGGTGAGGAAGCAGGAGGAGGAGGAGTTTGCCTTTGAGCGAAGAGTGATTGATCCATTCGGGCGAAGGCATGCGAGATAGGCGATGATGGTGCACCTGGAGCCAATGGTAAGCCGTTCACCTCCACTGATGACCCACCTGACATTGGAAATCTCTTCTCACTCCCTTCAATAGAATCAGTTAAGACCGTTCCTCCAAAAGCAGCATCCAACCCTCCATCTTGATTGTCGTTCCAGGCACTGCCAGTGCTGAGGGAAATATCATCGCCAGGAGCTTCGAGAGTCTGGCCTGAGCGGTATCGATCAAGGGCTTGTTTTCGTGGAGAATGAGCAGGAGTGGCCAGAGATGAGCTGTCAAGAACCGGGGGAGTGTTCAGCGGCAGTGCGCTTGACGTTGGTAGTAGTGACAAGTCAGGTTCCGAAGAAGGCCCAGAACTTTCACAGAGGTCAGGCCCGATTGATGGCATCATTTCGATGGAAGGTGATTCAGATCTTGGCATGGCGATCAGGGTTTTGGCTACGTCACTATCAAGGATAGGTTGGGTTTCGGCTATGTCATTATCGAGGATAGGCCGTCCTGCTCCTGCAAAGCTGAAAGCTCTTTCCTGACAGACTTCTGGTGCTGAAACAGTTTTGAGTCAAATATACACAAAGAAATTCTAACGGTACTTACGAAAAGCATTTCGAACAAATTGCGAAAATGGCAGGGCGAAGCCTTTCTTAAATCCTGTGTAAGCTTCATGGAAGTCTCTGCCACCATCGCTCTTTGGCCCAAAGTAGTAGCTATGAAAGGGGTGATTAATAAAATAACGTTGAAGAAAACAAGAGAATGACAGACTCGTGTTGATATACTGTCCCTCCAGCTTTTGGAAGTGGACCAGCGCATCCAATAAAAAACGCCCAGCCCGTCGATGCGCACAAGCAGTTAAAAATCTTGTCGAGGACATCGGGCAGTTCATCTATTGCCCTAAGAGGATGCAACAGCGTCAAATTGAAATACTTGCAATTACAGTGCGCTAAATCGCCTACTTTTGGAACTCCTCAGGATTTTTCTCCACCTCACAACCGTCGTCCATGCCGTCAACTTCTTTACCATCCTCAGAGTCCTGACCGCCCTTCTGCTTGAGACACTCAGCAGCTACTTCAGCCTTCACCTCTTCCGACTCAGCACTAAATAGAGTAGCCCTTACGCTCTTGAAGAGAATAAGGTGCTCTCCTGGTAATGCTGATCAGACCGTTTGTCAATTAAACATTGCAATAAAATACTCACCTTGAGAAAGTTTCCCTCCAGATTGGTCAGCCTTGGCTGCACTGACCGCCTCTCGAACTTTCTCCACGTACAACTTCCCATAAATTTCGGCTGCGTTCAAATTCCGGGAGCGCTTGTTCTTCACTAAGCTCTGCATCAACATATTTGAAAATACAGAGCTATCAGAGGAGCGCTTGTATCCACGAGCGTTCCAGTTGAACCAATTTCTGAGTTGCTAAAAGGGGCGTAAGTTAAGTGAATTCTAGTACCGCAATTGAATTTTACTTACTTTCTTTCTAGCCTTTATGGCATCACAAAGTTCATCCTCCTGTGGTGGGGTAAGAACTGCTGACGGCTCACCAGCCGCTGTTGGAAAGAGAGCATTGCGTTCAGGATATTTCTCAAACCAGCCTTCAGCAATGTGTGAGTGAAAGCGCGCGACCGTTGATTTCTTCTGCACTTCAGCGAACGCTGGAATATGTGATTCGAGCCATTTCTTTTGCTCATCCATTATAGAAGATTTTCCCATGATGGACGGCAAAGAATTCAATGACGAGGTGAAGTGACAGAGGTCGAACTGACGGATATAATTCAAGGTGGGTGATTTCTCTCCTTCTACCATGCTGATTATTTTCAGTACATCAGACAAATATCTTTCCGTATTTTCGTTTTGATCTCCAGTAAGCCCTTTCATATACAATTTCAAATCTCCTCTTATCTTTCCCCATTCTTCACATCTCCATTTCTTCAACTCTTCCAGATACCAATCATCACTCTAGATCTATTGCATAAATATTCTACACCACAAACTTCCACCTCAGTACAAACGTCCACCCCAGTGGTTTGACTCTCCAGCAAACACTAAGATATATTTGGAAAGCGATCATATTCTATTTTAGGCACACCGTCTCCTCGCTACCTATTGCATGCATCTCAATTTCTTATGAATCTTAAGGGCACTGCACATGTGGATAAATCATGTGTGAAATACGCATTTGGATAAATTGTATCCTTGGCATTTCTATCTGAGGTTCGGTTAAATTCTATATGCATGCATCCCAATTTCTTATGTACCTTGAGTGCACTGCACATGCGGATAAACCATGTGTGCACTGCGCATTTGGATAAATTGTAGATCACATCCTTGGCGATTTTGCCAAACTAATGTCAATAACAAGCGATGTATAGAATTTATTCCTCTTCGTCACTTTTCATTCCCAACCCTTCCATGTCTGACATCCCCCTGCAGCAAGCAGCCCAGAACGAGCCTTGCCACTCCTGCTTGACTGCTTTAGAAGCTGCAGCGTCAATGGCTAGACTGGTTGTACGTTTTGAGAGAGGTTAGTATTCTGGTTTGCCTTTTTGATGCTTATAATCTCATTCATCTATTCAGCTACAAGGCGTATGGCACATTTTCTGTTTCATTGTGGACATTCAGATGCTCATTGAAGCTAGATATGATACCCGACCCCCTTACTCAAGAAGGACTCAACGCAATCGCAGAGGTCACACAGGGTTCGTTGTTATTTTATCTGACACACTATCTCTAATTTCTATGCGAAAGCCCTTGCTACCTTACCGGACGATTCTCTTTCTGATTATCAGGTCATTGGAGCTAATGGTACGGTTGCTGCCTGGAATGCTCTCATTTTATTTTAACACTTCACTTTCAGAATCCGTTGAGAACGCAGCTGGTGGCACTTCCACAGCAGGAGAAAGTGCAATCCCTTTGGTTGCCGATCCTGCCACTGAGGACCACCGCTGGTATGCGGTTACTGTGGGCCGGGCACCAGGTGTCTATCGCGGCGCGTGCGTAATGTTTCTATCTTCCACATATTCTTTGATATCTAATATAAATATTGGTAGGTACCACCTTAGTGGAAACTCTACTGGCACCCCAGGCGGAACAGTGCAACGATTTTCAGATATGCATTGTGCCCTAGCAGCATACCAGGCTGCCGTCCTAGCCGGAAGTGTTGTTGAAGTCACAGTAGCTACCACTCATCGTGTAATCACTCCCAACGATCCTGTCAATATTGTGGACCACTAGCGTGTTAACAATTCATCAAATTTATCTTTCAATGTTTGTCAAATTGAATTTTGCACACTCTCAACCTTGATTTTAGATGTTGTGTATAATGATCTATCTACTCTCATTCCTGTCCTCAAAGCCCTCACCTTCACCCTCATCTTGGTTGTCCTCCCCCTTCTCCCCCTCATCCTGGCTGTCCTCTCCCTGGCCATCATCTTCCTCCTTTCTGCGTAACCATTGATAATCTGACAAGAGGCCATGCACTGTGCCGCCCAATAAATTTATGCGCACCTCAAGAGCTGCCAAACCCTGCGTGATAATGCGAAGCAATTCTACTTCAATTCTCCACAATTCCCTTATTTGCCAATCAGAATTTGGGAGATGGCCTTCCATGCTTGAGAGGTCCTCCATTAATTCCCAACCAATGTCAGCGTGGTTTAGCATCTCTCCAACCCAACGTTCAACCCTATCTTCCTTGGTAGCTTTTTGATATTCGGAATCGAGTTTGTGGTGCCAGGCCCAACTTCCACCCCAGGGCAAGGCCCAAGCACGTACGCGATCACGGATTTCGCAGAATCGAGAAAATTCTGTTATATCAAACTCCTCTGAAAAGAGCTCCTGGTTATGGTTGACCGGTGGTAGAACAACGTCCTTGACAGTGCGTGTGGTGGACAGATTTAAATTAAGTAACTTGTTTGCCTTTCTAATTTCAGGTCAGAACATGGCATTGATTGAAGGACCAAATTAAATGTACTCCTTCTCTCGCTTCTCTCTCATTCGGAGTTTTGATTTCTCCCTGAGTTCTGGGTGACTGTGAAAAAAGAAAGTGTGAACCGTTAGCAATTGTAAGAATGTTTGAACAACCTTCTGTAATAACGTTGGTCTCTCGTTAGTTTATCACTTCCTGCTACACTGGAAGCAGTCTTGTTTCTTTTGCTTTTAGTTTCAGATGAGGTTCGGGTGCGACCCATGGAGAATGAAATATAATGCGGAGATAATGGGTTGAAAATAGTTGGAAGTCGAAGCGAAACGTGAACAAATAGTGTTGGCATCTGTCTCGCACACTTGCCAATTTCGAGGGAGGTATATAAGTGACGTGTTTATGGTATCTCAATCGGTTTATTGTATCTAAAATGGCAAGATCTTACCTCAAATAATGCTTCCTAGTTTTAGGAGATGTCTCGAATAAGCTTGCGCACCAAGTTAACGCGAAATGTGAACGCGAAATGTGAACATCGGTATCGAACACTTGCAAATCTCAAATAATATAAGTCTCATGGTGTATCAATAGGGTAATTGTATCTCAAACTAACACTTCTTACCTCGAAAAACGCTTCTTGGTTTGAGGCGATCTTTCTAATACATTTGCGCATCAGAAATGTGAACAAATAGTTTGCAAATAGCGTTGGCATCTGCCTCGCACACTTGCAAAATTTAAAGAAGGTGAGTAATGTAAACCTTTATGGTCTCTTAGTAGTCTGATTGTAACTAGAACAGCAACTTCTCAACTCAATTGACAAGTTCAAGAAGTTTGCACAACGTTCACGTTGGGTTCACGTCAGATTCACGCCAGTTCACGTCAAGTTCACGCAGTTCACGCGAAGTTCACATCTCCGCGGGGAAGATGTTCACGCGTGAATGCCTATCCGATCAAATCAGGCCTTGTTTGGTGCGTTGGAATGCTTCTCCTGCTGCCATCTTTTTTCCTCGCTGTCTCGTCCACCCGCGCCGTTTTACATTTAATCTCACTCAAGGTTTTCAAACGCGATGAAGCTCCCTTGCTTCCCTCCTTCCACCAAAATCTTCAAAAAAGGTACGTCGCTCCCGAAACATCGTTGTCTGTGCAGGCGAGCGTCACCCAAGCGCACACTGGCAGATTGACGCTCCTCTCTTCTTGCAGTGAATGGCATGCAGCGGAGCGTCACCCATGCGCACCCTGGTGACCTCACCCCACCCCGCGTGTACACGCCTGCCGACGTTTTCGCTCGTTCCGGTCGCTTTCTGGCCCCTTCGTCCAATTTTGCCCCCACGTCTTCATGTGTGGGCCGCTTTCGCGGTTTTTCACCCCCCTGCGCCCATTTCCATCCCCTTCGTTCAATTTCACCCCCACGTATTCACGTTCTTCACGTTGGGCCCGCTTTCGCTGTTTTATACCCCCCCCTGCACCCCCTTTGTCCAATTCCGCCCTCACGTCTTCACGTTGTGCTGGCGTTCACTGTTCTTCACCCCCCTGCACCCCCTTCGTCCATTATCGCCCCTACGTCTTTACGTTGTGCCCGTGTACGCTGTTTTCCACCCCCCTGCACCCATTTCCACCCCCTTCGTCCATTATTACCCCCACGTCTTCACGCCTCGCCCGCATTTGCGCTTTTTCACCCCCCTTCGCGCTTTTTCACCTCCTGTTGCGTCATTATTACCCCCATGTCTTCACGCCCGCATTTGCGCTTTTTCACCCCCCTTCGCGCTTTTTCACCTCCTGTCGCGTTTTTTCACCCCCCTTCACCCTTTTTCATCCCCATGTCTTCATGTTTCACCTCCCTTTGCCCACTCCCACCCGCGTTCGCCCATTTCCACCCCCACGTCGTCATGTTTCGCTCTTTTCCACTCTCCCCACCTCCATTCTTTCACATTTGTGCATGCAAGTTCACTGATATATCTTGTTTAGATCACTAGATCCTGGTCAATATGCCCCACAGTTTCAAGGACTTTGACCCGTTCACGGTAAGTTGTCTCCATGTCAACCTCAATTGCTAGATACTCATGCCATTGATTGATTTCTCAGACTTTCAAACCTCGCACCGTAAGTATGGGTTCGTCACCTCGGTATCTACATGCTAACGCCCTTTACTTAGACAAGATCTGGCCACAAGTTTTCTCGCCTCCTCGATGCCGTGTTATGTGGCATCCAGGTGGCAAAACTCTTTTGCCGTGCTTTTAAAAGGGACAATGCCTGCGGCGACGAGGGAGACAGCGACATCGAGGATGACGACATCATCAGCCCTCAAGGTCCCACTGACCTCACACACACGACACCTCCACATCCACCCACAACACCCATCAACTCTCGATATCAAACACGTCTCACCACACGTCGCACTACTGCTGCCCCTCCTGGCAAGATCGAAAAAGCTTGCGGGAAGGATCGTAGCCGACTGCGCCGCTCGGAATCCAAAGCCAAGCAGAAGCTGCTCCACCCCAATCGCATTGCCTTTCGACCTCGTTTTGCTGCCGCTGAATGTCTCATCATCACTGGGATGAAGACAAAGTTTGATACCTCCAGGCTATGTGTCTCATCCAATTGTTGGATTGCGCTACGCAAGAAGGCCACCAAAAATTCTCAGTGGACGGTGGATGAGTTGAAAGGGAGGGGATTTGACGTACTCAAGTGGGATGCGAGGTAAATTTCACATTTTGTCCTGTATGACACCCGCTAACTGATTGTCAACAGTAACCCGAAGGTTGTGCTCGACGTTGCCAACCGTATCATTGTTCCACTCGCAGGCAGGCCGCAGGGCGAAGACTGGGACCAGGTCATTCGCGATGCGACTGCTGCCATGAACGCGGTCCGCATTCGTGGTGAGCGGCTAGGCATATTCACCGCGGAAGACAAGGAACATCAACACGGTCGGTTTACGCCTGTCACTTCTGGTGTATCCTATGGTGGTGGGCAGACAGTAAGTCAATTTTTTTTACTTGAATCACATCGATACTAATCATGTGTTATAGAAACCCGGAAACCTTCGCCTTTCTAAAGCGAAACAAGGACTTGTCAATGAACTCCGGGATAATCCTGCCATTCAGCGCGTCGCCAGATGGCAATCATGTAAGTTCTATGATCTACGATGCTACTGCTTCATCTGATTGTCCCCTCTTCAGGCGCTTTCGCCATCTATGCTCCCAAACTCTTTGACAAATACCGCTACTTATTAAGCAATCTATTCGACCACGACCCGACTCTCATCCACAACTTCGAAAAATCGATATTTACCGCATCAACGTTCAACTTAGGCCCCAATACAATCACCCTCGATCACACTGATTCCGCCAACGTCGCTCATGGTCTTTGCGCGATCACAGCACTTGGCGACTACGACTACACGCTTGGCGGTCATATGATTATCTTTGATCTCAAGCTTATCATTGAATTTCCTCCCGGCTCCACTATTCTCATTCCTTCGGCGGTTTTTTGGCATGGTAATACGCCTATCCAGCCAGGTGAGACCCGAATGTCATTCACTCAGTTTGTTGCTGGGGGGTTGTTCCGCTGGGTGAAGTATGGTTTCAGGACGAAGGATCAACTTATCCTTGCTGAGGGTAAAGCACGCTTGTCAGAGATTAACGGTAACTATACTGAACGTTGCGAAAGGGCGCTCAGTCTCTTTTCGAAGCTGACTGAGTTAAATGAGGATCGTCGACGTGTATTTGCCAAGTAGTTAGATTAGAATTTCATATCCTGATCTCATGTGCATGAATTGATGTTCTCTGCTTCCTCAACACCCAGCCTAAGTATTTTGTCTCATCTTTTGCATGCACACCATGTATGTTGCATCAAGGTACAACCGCTCTGCCCCATCGTCTTTGTAGAAGTAGTAAGGCTTTCCACACTTTGAGCTGTGCAGAGTATCCATGAAAAAAACTTTGTAGTTCAAATCAATAGACTGACCAATAAACCTCCCAGATCCCCGGAAAATCTGATTTCCGTGTCAACATGTGGTCGCTAATAGCCACAAAGATAGTCATCCCCATTCAAATAAAATAAAAATAAAAACACTCACAATAGGATAGGCCTTGAATCTTCGTACACTTGGTACAATCCACAGACACTTTGCATGTTTGGGATATCTTGTAGACCATCCAACGATTTGCAGTTGCTCTTCATTTTGTTAAAGATAAAGGGGAGCTTAAGCTCCTATTTATGAAAACAATAGAACCGATCTTGATTGATTTCTACCATTGATTGGTTGACGTTGATTGCCCTGATCAGATCGCATGGTAGTTGTCAGGTGCAGCAAAAACACCTTCACAGAGTCAGGCACTTCACCAACCCAAGTCATTCTTGCCAGCCCCGTTGCTACTCCAATTCAATGCCTCCCAAACGGAAACGCTCCGAGCCACGCCCTGCAGAGCTTTCGGATGACGAGGATCCTGACACTCAGCCCACCACCACAATTATCACTCCTGTCCTTCAATTCACCCAACGCGTTAATCGACATGGTCACCACGCACTCTCAGTAAATACCAAGCATGTACAATTTGAAGTAGAACAACAAGAAACTTGTATGCCTTCAGTCGACTTTCCTACCAGCTATCCCAATATCAGTGATGATTCCACAACCCTCCCAAATCTCTCTTCAACAATGGACGATGCTTTCGCAGAGCTTGCAGCCATAGACCCTGCCTATTTTGATGCATTGAGTGACGATCTCATTTCTGTAGGGCCACGAAAAAAGAGACCTTCAGTACGCCATTGTATTTCATTCTATTTCAAGGCTAATTTCAATTTAATCAAAGGATTACCCATTGAAAGAATGGATCAAGGATAGCGATGTGTTTCTGGAGGAAGATATTCGGTGGGAAGGGAGGGGGGAGTACATGATGGAAAACTGTTGTCAGTGCTTGAGCTCTGAGACACTGTATAGGTGCCAGGATTGCGAAGGGGGGGAGTTAATTTGTCAAACATGCATGGTTGATTACCACTGAGCCAACCCACTGCATCGCATTCAGGTGTGTTCTTATCTTTAAACCTCCTTCTACAGTTAATCAATTATCATAGGAGTGGACAGGTTCTTTCTTCAAACCAACAACACTTAAGAAACTGGGGCTACGAATTCAACTAGGTCACCGACTCAGAGAACGTTGTCATGTACCACAACCCGCATGGAATAACGACTTCGTTGTTCTTGATACTACAGGCATTCATGAAGTAGGATTGGACTTCTGTAATTGTGAACACGCACAAGATCATTTTATCCAACTTCTCCGATTCCGATGGTTTCCGGCCAGTGTCAAAAGTCCCAAGACTGCAGTGACTTTTCACTTGCTCAAACACTTTCAAATCCTCAGCTTCGAATCGAAGGTTTCAGCGTTTGAATTCTACACAGCTCTGGCACGTGAAACGGAAAATACGGGTATATCACCTTTGAAGGTGAGTCTTTGGTCGACTAAAAAATAATTCGTTCATTGAGTTTCTACAGGATCGTTACTGACCTTTTATGCGAGTTGTACACTTCAGGCAACCACCTAACCCTACCCTCTTAGGGTAGTTACTCCATGCCAATAAGACTACCCTATGAGGGCCCAATACCATGGTGTGTCCCACCTATTTCATGGAGTCCCCTGGGGGTAGCCAGGTACTCCCATGGGAGTTCCATGGTATCTCCTAGGACTTCCAGATTCCTCTTACATTTCCTTGGGAGTCCCACCTCTGTGGGAGTCCCAAGTATTATATTCCCTGGGACTCCCTAAGTCAAGGGACTCCCATCTGATTCATTGGGACTCCCAGCCATATATGTACCTAAATTACTATTCTCTGGGACTCCCCAGGATGAGGGACTCCCATCTGGTTCTGGGACTCCCAAGTATATATGTACCTAAATCTCTATTCCCTGGGACTCCCCAGGAAGAGGGACTCCCATGGTTCTGGGACTCCCAAGTATATATGTGGCTAAATTTTAAATGTGCCTGTCAGCAGCAAAAACCAAGCCTTT